CGTGCCAATGCACTCCAGCCTGGGTGACAGAGTGAGACTCCATCTCAAAAAAAAAAAAAAAAAAAAAAAAAAAAAAAAAAAAAAGAAAAAGAAAAAGAAAAAGAAAAAAAAAAAAAAACATTTTAAGAAACATAAGAGGGCTTCACTTTGGTGACCTTCAAGCAGAAAGCAATTAAACCTGCTTAATCTGCTGTGTCAATATTTTCACCAAAAGGTATCCTATTGTTAGAGGATACCTCCTCTAACAATACAGAAATACAGATTTTAGTACTTTAGCCAAGAATAATTAGGAAGTAGTGGACCAAATATGTACAGAAAGACCTGTGACCAAATTCGTGATTGCTATTGTCTAGATATAATTTGCCTCCCAACCCATCAGTTTCTTTCTCCATGCTTTTTCCACTTTATCAACATCTCTGATGAAACCATTAGAGTTCTCTCAAGGACAGAACTAAACCTTTCTTCTGACTCAGCCTAGGAGTTTATGAACATGCCTTCTCCTTCTCAGACATGAATCTGAGAACATGTCTGAGGCTTTTTTTCCAGTCTCATAACTCTCTAGAAGGTCGCTTAAACTTTATTCTAAAGCATCAGATATGACAATGTACCCAGCCTCAGGTACAATCTATATACAAGTAGGTAATTTTCAAATGCTGAACACAGATCCACTGTCCCGCCTGCTGCTGTCAGGCACAACTCTCTAGGTTCTTTGTTAGCTTGAGGTCTCAGAAAAGCAATTTCTTTTCCAGCCAGTCTCAGTACAGGATAGGATTTGGCATTAAAACATTTTCCTTTCTAAAGGTTCCAACAGCCACAAGCTGCTTGGTTTCTACTATATGAAGTCCACATTCAAATCTCTAGAATGAAATAGCACCTTTGTAGAAACCCAGAGGACAAAAATAAGGCATGGTATCCTTTCAGCCACTGCCCTTTGTGCGACTGTAACTCTTTGGCCCCTGATTTATAGCACAATGTGTCTTCACTCATCTAGAGATTCTTCCCCATGATCTCACAATTTACTGACATTCTTGTTACCCAATTTCTCTCAATTTTTTTCTATATCATTGTTTGTCTCTAATTTCTCAAAGTTTCCTCTGCTTTTTAATAAATATTTAAATGTTATTGGCATTTTTAAAACTGTATACATTAATATTTACAAATACACATTTACTTTGCAGAAGCACAAAAATAATTGTTAAAATTAGCATGCGATATAACTTCTTGAATGCTAGAAGAGCTCACTGTCTTGATTTGGGAGGTAGCTACATGGGGTGTATTCATAAACATTCATCATATTGTAAACTGAAGATGTGTGCAGCTTATTGTATACATGTTATGAGAGAGAAAGAGAGACTATCCATCAAATATTGGAAGTTTTTGCTTAGCAGAAAGGAAAGGGAGAGAATCTTATGTTCAGAGCAATCAACAGCACTGTAATTGCATGTCCATTGAAAAAAATGAAAATTTTCATATCACTGAAGTAAGTTAATCAATCAATTCACTAAAGAATGATTTAGACAATTAGGTTCTATTCTTTCTAAAAACCTTAAGTACTAGAAAAAACTCATGGCTTTTGCCTGAAATCTATTTCTATTCACAATACATAATGATCACACAAATAAAGTAAGTACAATACAATGAATTTCTTGTGTCAAACATACTTATCTGCCAGACTTTCTACTAGATACTTCAAATTACATTTTTTCATGCATTTAGTCATTTAATTAAATATTAGTTGGAACCACTATGTGGCAATAACTATGCTGTATACTTACGAATATATTACATGATTTTGCGGGGAGGAGTTTTTTCTCTCTGGTTGTATTTTGCTTAGCACAACATTGAAACTCTTCTAGATATGGCAGTTTGAGAAACTCAGGCATTGCTTTAAAAAATTCTATAAAAGTTATCATTAAAATTAAACAGTTCACATATTAAGAATGAATATGTAAAATGAATAATATGCCCCATTTAGACAACATGCACCAGATATTCAAGATTAAGAGGTCTATGTGTGGAGAAGAAAATGTTTAAATTATGCTGGCTCTTTTTTTTTTTTTCACCTATACAAAACACTCTTTCAGCTCACAGAAATCTAGGTAAAGAAAGGAATGGGGTATAGTATGTCCAAGTAAATAATTTACCTTTGCCATTTTATCTGCCAATTGCAGCCGGCCATCAAGTTCCCTTCTGATCTGGGCTGCTTGTTCATCTGCATTATCCAGCTTAAAATTAAAAATAAAACAGAAGTTACACATATGTGATTACTTAATGGCAGTGACCCGCAGACTAAGACAAAGATTAAATGACTCAAAAATATTTAATAGATTGTATCAAATATCTATTACAAAGAGAATACAGGAGATTGTTTCATTTGAATCCAGTTAAATTTCGTGGGTACTTTGTCATTGTGGTTTTATTCACGAAACCACAAAATCAAGAAATCCTTCTGTCTTTATGAAGGTCAATTCTAAACTGAAATTAGATTTCTTGATTTAGATTTCAAGAAATCTTAATTATTACAAAAAATTCTTTCTGCAACTCGTCCACAACAACTCTAAAACAAGAGGTCCTTTTTCCTTAAGGTTACATTAAGTTGTCATACGGTTTTATTCAGTCCATCCTTCTGTCTTTTGAAGGTCAATCCTAAATAGTTCCAGAGAGATGAATCTCCTGTTTTGTTCTTTCAAGTTCTTGTCATGTATTTCTTGAGGATGAGATGCTGAGTAATGTTTCACTTCTTTATACTTTAAAAAAAATCCCTTCATTTTAATAATAAGATTGTATTAGTGCTAAACTATAAAAGTATTCTTTGACTAATATAACTTTCTACCATTTAATTCTTCATATACTCCTCATTCTAATACCAATAGACTAATACCGCCAAGAAATCCTTCCATTCTTTTACAGACTGGCACCATACTGACTGAAAACAATAACAGTGTTCTCTCATCAATATTTTTAGAAATCTCCCATTTACATGGGAAATTTTCATTTCATGAAATAATCCTTAACTTTTGTTATAACTTCTTTTCACTTTACTCATGATACCTTTTCACCTATTCGCTCAATATTTATTAGTTACTTTATAAAAATATTAAATTAAGGATGGTAAATATTAATTTTTCTCTTGACTTCTTCTCCTTTCACCCTCTCATCACAAAGAAGCCAGGACTGCACAATACACTTTAGTAAAGGACCATCTAAAGATTCAATTAGGACTGATCATAACATTAAACACCAAGGATGATAACAGTTTGTCCATTTCCTGAAGAACTACAAATTAACCAGCTTACATTTTTAAAACACCCTCAAATAAGAAAGTCTTCAAAAAGATGAGTAGAAGCAAACCAGATTAACAGGATGGTGGTATAGCAATTGATAGGAAGAGTCAAAAAAAGGAAGATGTTCCTTTAAGAGAACACCAAAAGTCTGGAGTAGAGGAGGTAAAACTAGACACACTCAGTGATTCTTTTCGAATGAGATACCAGAAGAGGCAGGTGGGAGACAGGACTGGAGAGAGAAGCAGGGCAACTTCATAAGTTACTCTTCACAAGTCACATTAGAGAATTTGGATTAGTTCCAACCACAATGGAACTTCCTTGGGACGTTTAAAGTGGGGGAGTGAGATATAGACCAATGGAACAGAACAGAGGCCTTAGAGGCAACAACACACACCTATAACCATCTGATCTTTGACAAACTGACAAAAACAAGCAATAGGGAAAGGATTCCCTGTTTCATAAATGGTGCTGGGGTAACTGGCTAGCCATGTGCAAAAGCAGAAACTGGACCCCTTCCAGACACCTTACACTAAAATTAGCTACAGATGGATTAAAGACTTAAACATAAGACTGAACACCATAAAAACCCTAGAAGAAAACCTAGGCAAAACCATCCAGGACATAGGCATAGGCAAGGACTTCATGACTAAAACACCAAAAGCATTGGCAACAAAAGCCAAAATAGACAAATGGGGTCTAATTAAACCAGAGCTTCTGTACAGCAAAAGAAACAATCATTAGAGTGAACTGGCAACCAACAGAAGGGGAAAAAATTTTTGCCATCTACCCATCTGACAAAGGGCTAATATCCAATATCTACAAAGAACTAAAACAGATTTGCAAGAAAAAAAAAAAAACCCAATCAAAAGTAGGTGAAAGACATGAACAGATACTTTTCAAAAGAAGACATATATGAGGCCAACATATGAAAAAATGCTCATCATCATTGGTCATTAGAGAAATGCAAATCAAAACCACATTGAGATACCATCTCACGCCAGTTAGAATGGCAATCATTAAAAAATCTGGAGACAACAGATGCTGGAAAGGATGCAGAGAAATAGAAACACTTTTACACTGTTGGTGGGAGTGTAAATTAGTTCAACCACTGTGGAAAACAGTGTGGTGATTCCTCAAAGACTGAGAAATAGAAACTACATTTGACCCAGCAATCCCATTACTGGGTATACACCCAAAGGATTATAAATCATTCTATTATAAATACACATGCACACTTATGTTCATTGTGGCACTGTTTACAATAGCAAAGACCTGGAACCAACCCAAATGCCTACTGATGACAGACTGGACAAGAAAAATGTGGCACATATACACCATGGAATACTATGCAGCCTTAAAAAACTATGAGTTCATGTCTTTTGTAGGGACATGGATGAATCTGGAAGCCATCATTCTCAGCAAACTGACACAAGAACAGAAAATCAAACACTATATGTTCTCACTCATAGGCGGGTGTTGAAAAATGAGAACACATGGACACAAGGAGGGGAGCATCACACACTGGGGTCTGTTGTGGGGGGACTAGGGAAGGGACAGTGTGGGGTAGGGAGGTTGGGGAGGGATAACATGAGGAGAAATGCCAGATATAGGTGACAGGGGGATTGAGGCACTAAACCACACTGCCATGTATGTACCTATGCAACAATTCTGCATGATCTGCACATGTACCCCAGGATCTAAAATACAATAAAAAATACATTAAAAAATAAAAACAAAAAAATAAAGTTGGGGAGTGATATGATCATATCTAAGCTTTGGAAAGGAAAGATTTACTCTGTCTCCAGCACAAACAATAGGTCAGAGAGACAGACGGAATTCTTCTTATTTTGTTCTCTTTAATAGATATACACAAAATATTAAATTGAGGATATCCATGTTAATTTTCTCCTGGAAAAAAAAATACATATGTAAAATCCCTGAGATTACCTGTCTAAAATATGTTCCCAAGTTGATTTTTTAAAAACCAAATTCATTTTAAAGTAAGTTAAAAAATAACACAAGATTTTCTTAAAGTAAATCCCCATTATAAAGGAGTTTCTATGCCATCTCATAAAACTAATAAACAATTTTAATTAATATGATTAAAAATCAAACAGAAACGAGTTTATCTTCACTGTGTCTAAAACAATAATGATCCAAATCAAAACCTAATGTAATTATGAAGAAATATAATATGCAATAAGTATGTGTTCCAGGTTAACAGAAATCTCTCATTTCAAGCTCCTAAAAACTAAAGAGAACCACGAGAACATTGAAACTATAACAATACATAAAATGCACTAAATGTAATATGAAATATAATCTTTGCTTAATGCCGATACATATTTCTTAGAGAGAAATAAAAAAGTTACTTGCATATAAAGGAATTATATTTTTTCTCATACCTCCAACAAAATATAGCATTTAATATCTTTAAATAAAAGGCCATAGTTTTTCAAATGCCTCTAGAAACACTATCACCTTTATGTATTTATATCTCCAGATTAATAGTTCTTACTTAATTTTAAGTAAAATTGTTTGAATTATTTCTGAATTTTGGGAGTTTTATTTGTAAGAGACAATTTACAACTACATATTTTTTCTTTTTGTAGAGATGGGATTATTGCTGTTATCTAAACTAGTCTTGAACTTTTGGGCTCAAGTGATCCTCCTGCCTCTGCCTTCCTAAGTGCTGGAATTACAGGCATGAACCACCACACCTGGTCTATATTTTTTTTTTTAAAAATAATACCTTGATGAAATTTTTCTGAAAAAAAAAATAAGCAAAAAAAACCCCCCAAAACAACAAAAAACAAAAAGTAGGGCATTGGGACACTACATTGTCTTTAAAAACAAAACAAAACAAAACAAAATTCAGATCGGGGGGCTACATTTGCAGGGTTGTTACATGGGTATATTACTTGCGATTTAGGTTGAGCTTGGAAATACAGAAGGTACCATCACTCCCAAGTGGTGAGCATAGTATCCAATAGGTAGTTTTTCAGCCCACATTTTCCTTAGTCAATCAGTTCCCAGTGTCTACTATTTCTGTCTTTATGTCTATGTGTATTCAATGTTTAGCTTTTATTTATAAGTGAGAATATGTAGTATGTGGATGTCTGTTCAGGTGTTAATTTGCTTAGAATAATGGCTTCCAGTTGCACCCACATTGCTGCAAAGAATATGCTTTCATTCTTTTTTAGTGCTGTGTAATAGTCCATGGGGTGTGTGTGTGTGTGTGTGTGTACTTATGTATTTATGATATTCATAAATATTATCAATATTTTATGTATATTTTATGTATATATAAAATATTTTCTTTATCCAACCCACCATTGATGGGCACCTAGATTAATACCAGGTCTTTGCTATTGTCATCAGTGTGACAATAACCATATGGGTGTCAGTGTCCTTTGGATAGAATGAGTCATTTTTCTTTGGGTACATACCCAGTAGTGGGATTGCTGGGTGTAATGGTAGTTCTGTTTTAACTTCTTTGAGAAATCTTTAAACTACTTTCCACAGTGGCTAAAGTAATTTGCATTGCCACCAACAGCATATAAACATTTGCTTTTCTCTGCAGCTTCACCAGCATCTGTTTTTTTTGTTGTTGTTTTGTTTTAACTTTTTGATAATAGCCATTCTGACTGCTGTGAGATAGTATCTCTCTCAACGTGGCTTTGATTTGCATTTCTCTGATGATTAATGATGTTGAACATTTGTTCATTTTTTTTTTTGGCCCTTGTACATCTTTTGATTAAATGTCTGATTGTGTACTTTGCACATTTTTTAATTGGATTGGTTTTGCTTAAATTGTTTAAGCTCCTTGTAGATTCTGGATATTAGTAGATTCTGGATATTAGATCTTTGTGAGGTACACAGTTTGCAAATATTTTCTCCCATTTTGTAGGCTGTTGGTTGATTCTGTTGGTAACTTCTTT